CGGTTAAACTAACCGGTCCGGTTCTAAAAAACCATGGTTATGAGTCCAACCTTACATAAATTCCAAGGCAATGCGATCCATTATTGTAGTTGGGAAGATAAAAAACAGAATATCAACAGATAACGAGAGAATGGAAGACATAACAACGTACCTATTCAATAGCAAAATAGATTTATCCTGGGGATCAAATAATAAATGATTTTTTTTTGTTGTAGACGTTTACATTAAATTAATCCACACCTCTTCATAGACGCCTTCGACATTGGTCCGAGTCTAAATCGTCCAACGTCTAGAGTTCAAAATACAGGCAACGATCAAGCATTAGTTTAAACCATTTTGTGAAACATGAAATCAAACGAGAAACAACAATAGACAAAGGTTCTCAACTAAAAGACTGTCTGCGTTATGTCTAGGGATGGCATGGGTCGGGTTCAGTCCGATTTTCGATTAATCTAATCCGACTTGAAAATTTATACTCTTCATTTGAAATCCAATTGGATCCGAGTTTAGGGATAACTTCATCCAAACTAAATCCGATCCGATTTTTTGAGATAACACATGAATCTTATCCGACAAACGAAGTAAACATATTTATAAAAATATTATTTTTATTCGATAAAAAATAAGGATATAATTGAATATATATATAATATGGAGGATTATTATTGTCCTTAAATATATAAAATAAATTTATATTATTTTTCGTACATATTGGATCAAGTATTTTTCACCCTAAAGTCAAACCCGAACCAATCATATTCTCTAAAAAATTCGAACCGACCCGACTCAAGCCCATTTTTTTAAATGAAAAACAACCCAATCAAATTAAGTTAGATCAAAATCCATCAAGTTCGGGTCTCGTGTTCATCCCTAGTTATGTCACCTAAAATGCAAAAGAAATACATTGGAATCAAGACAGAAAGTTGTATATTGGTTAGTGGTTGGGCGGCAACCGATGACTGGCCTTTCGATAATAATAATGAGGGTTTGGAGGGAGAGATTTTAGGGGCTTGTTAATTTTTTTTTGGAAAGATTTAAATTTGTACAAGTTAAAAAACTAGATATCATGTTTTTTTATTTTATAAAATTTCAAAATAATTTTAGTAAAAATAATCTTTTTTATGTTATCATATTTTCACTTATTTTTATTTTCTGAAAATTATTTTTTGATTTTACAACCAACACGTTTTCTTTAACGTTTTCTATTTCTAAGAAAATGAAAATAACCTATATTTTCTAAAGTCAAATCGAACCTTAGATTTTTTTTAAATAATGATATTTTGGGTGTTGTTGCCACGTTATCAACCATCAACCATGTCACCACGGTTATAAATGAGACGAGACAAGTCGTAAGCTACTCGAGATCTACTCGGTCAAAGCTTGATAAATACTCAACTCGAATGGACCCGACTCGAGCTCGAGCTTGACTCGAGTTCTTGACGAGCTACTTGAAATTAACTTGACTCGAAAAGCTCACGAGTAACTCAAAAATATAATATATTAAGATTTTATTATTTTAAAAAATAAATTATTAATATTAACAATTATGTGTTGATTTTAAAAAAATAAAGTATAAGATTTTTATTGTATTTAAGGTTCAAGTTTGAGTTTAAGGCTTCAATCGAGTTAAGTTTAAGATATTTTTCATTTCAAGCTTTTACAAGCTTCAATTCATGGTTTTAAGTTCATGTCGAGCTTGAAAATTTTAGGCTCGCGAGTTTTTGAGCCGAGTCGAGCTTCATTTCAAAGTTTTCGAGAACAATACTCGAGCTCGACTCGGCTCATTCACTCCCCTACATGTCATTGTGTCATTAACGATTTAACGGTTCAATAGTATAATTGAAACGAAAATCAAAGTTCAACGTTGATAAAAATGAAAGTTCATGGTATAAACGATATAACATCTAAAGTTTAATGGTATAAAAGATACACCACCTATAGTACGGTGGTATATGATGTGGTTTACCCTTTTATTTTTATACAAATTAAAATAATTAAACTCTTCGTCTTTAATTGTTTTTATTAATCTAAAGTACTTACTAGTGGTAGTATATGTTCTAAAGACTCTAAACTATTTGATAATGAATGTTTAAATGTCATGCAATCTCTAATGTTTGAACCTAAGACTTTTAAAAATCAAATTTAACTATATTTGAATTTATATTTCTAAATACTATAATAATAACTAAATAAATTAAATTAATATTTCATTTATTTTATTTTCTTATTTTAAAATTATTTTTATTTGTAATATTATCAGTGATAAGGGATGGACACGGACCTAAACCTGATAGGTTTCGACTTGATTCGACCCTATTAGGTTGAGTATTTTACCAAAACTTTGAATTCGGGTCAGGTTAGGTTAGGCCGAGTCGGGTATTTAGAGGTTGTGTTCGAGTTGGGTCGGATTTGAGTTTAAGGTGAAAAATCCGACCCATCCCGAAATAATTATAATTTATCTTATATATTTTAGGATAATTGCAATAATACCCATGTCTTTATTATTTTTTGGATTAAATATACAAAAGGTGTCCAACCTATGCCTATTTTTTCAATTTAGTGCCTAATGATTATTTCGTTCCAGTTTGGTGTCTAACATTTTATTCTGTGACTCAAAATGAGTCCAACCGTGACAGACAATTAAGTTTGGCCGTTAACCCATTAAAAATGTCACCTGACATATTTTTTAGGGTAAACTATATAAATAGTCTCCAAACTTTTAAGGCACTTACATTTTGGTCACCCATTAACCTCCTCCTACTCCGCCTCCTCCTTCATTATTACTATTTTAATAATCTTTGTTATCTTTTTTCACAGACACGAGGCATGGATTATCTCCATCATTACGATCCGCCTATCGTTCATCGTGCTTTGAAGTCTTCAAATCTCCTAGTTGATTACATACCAGAACGGTTTCTTCCACTTTAATATACAAGTAATTGTTATTTTCTTTTAAATTTATTTATTTATCAATGTTAAATATAGTTCCATATTTTGAATATGATTTTCCTCAATTCTTCTTCATTGTTATAGAATTGATATGATTTTAGGGTTGCTTTGTTGTTCAATTCTAAATTGTTTCACTGTAGGTAATCTCCACGTATTTGTTATTAACGACTTGAATAAAGTATTAGTTAGGGTTAGGGTTAGCCTTTTAGATTAATGTAATTTGTCGATTTTATATCAATCATTCTGACAAACACAGTTCTTTTTCAGTTTTTATATAAATTCGGGTTCCCTGATATGAGTTTTCGTTTTGGAAGTGGGTTTCTTTTCGTGAAATTCTATATTTTCTAGCTTTGTTTCCTCTGTTTCTTCTCCGATTTGGTCTTCGTTAGTTAATGGTGATCCGTAGAATCCATACGCCAAAGAACAAATCTGTGTCGCTATTGCTTTAAGTTTTTGGTGGTGTGTTCAAAAGTAGGCGTCTAACGACAAGATATCTATTTTCTTTTTGGGTAGACGAGGAACACAACCCTATTGCATCAAGGCACACTTCGTTTCATCTTCTCGCAGTAAACTAACCTTCATATATTAATATTTATAAGTTCGGTTTTGTCAAGCAGGTTCTTTCGCCCTCTTTTCCTTCATATATCTTTACCTTGCGTGGGGGAAGATTAGTTCTTTTCATTCTTTCTAGTATTTTTTTTGTGCTAGCTGATGGGGTTGAGCTTTTGGGGGATCTTGAGCTAAAACGTAAGACTTTATTTGCACAGATTGGTGATTTTGGTTTGTCACGGCTCAAGCATGCAACGTATCTTTCTTCAATGTCCGGGAAAGGAACAGTATCAACTGAATTTATTGAAACCTTTTCTTGCAGCAGCAGCAGGAGGAGGAGGAGGAGGAGGAGGAGGAGGAGGAGGAGGAGGAGGAGGAGGAGGAGGAGGAGGAGGAGGAGGAGGAGGAGGAGGAGGAGGAGGAGGAGGAGGAGGAGGTGACCATTTATATATTTTACCCTAAAAAATATGTTAGGTCACATTTTTAATTATCCGTCACGGCTGAACCCATTTTGAGTCACTGAATGAAACGTTAGACACCAAACTGAAACGAAATAAATACTATTCAAATCCAATCGTATTCGAGTTTTATCTCAAAAGGACGGGTCGAATTATGGTCAGATGAATAGTGTATAATTTTTGGATCAAGTTTGGATTAGACACAGAGTGTGTAATTTTTTAATCAGATCGAATTAATCGAAAATTTAATCCAACCCAATCCATGCCGATTCGTATTAGTAATACTTCAAAGATATAAACACACATGAATACTCTAATGAAGAAAATGATAGAAACTCAAATACCATAGTTCGAATCCTTCTAATGATGTACCATAAAGGAAATAAATTGAAGAAATCAAAACATATTCCACAGAGGTTGAGGTGAATGTATTCCCATTTTGTTTTAATTATTTAAATTATTTGTGATCTTTCACATATTGTTTTTTTAATAAATAAATAAGTGTAAATAAAAAGTATTATATAAATAAATATATGTTCAATTCATTGATCTTACTGAATAAATTTACTTATAATATTTATTTATTAATTGATTTATTTAAAATTAATATTTCTTTATATACTTAAAAATATATATATTTTTATTTTATTTGTTAATTTTTATATTTGATTAGTTTATTTTTAAAATTTTTATCTAATCTATTCGTCTGATTCAACCAAATGATCGAAGTAGCTAATGAAAACAACACGACGTTTAAAATTTCCAACATTGTGACTTTGTACTACTAAGATTCATGTATAAAAGAAAAAATCTCAAGGAAGGAAACATTCAGATCGAATATCTAATTTTTTTCAAATCAAAATCATTTCATTATTTTAGTTATTTGAAATTTTAAATGTCCATATTTTTAATCAATACGATATTTGAATTTACACACTCTTAATATTAAGTTTTGTTTTATTATCAATTATATTAAAAAATAATTTATAAAGTGAAATCTATTGACTTATTAGTTCTATTGGTTATACCCTTTATTTCTGTTGTTCACCTTTTGTTTCCTGCATCTCTCTTATCGCAAAAAAATGGCTGGGGAAAAGGAGACTAAGCCCTTCACAAGTTCGGGAATCAACGGAAATGGAAATATGAGCGATTGGAGCATTTCCACAATCGTTTCTTTCCTACAATCCAGTTTTATTCCCAATGATTTTGCTCTGGTAGAAGCTGAACTCTTAGCAAGGCAAAACAGATCGAATCTGGAAATCAAGTCACTGAAACAGGAAACCCGTTCGTCTTCCAACAAATTCGACGAGATCAGGTTGGAAAAAATGGGTCTCGCGGAGGAGCTGAAAAAATGCACAACAGAGGTGGAGGAGATGAGGAGCGAGCTTTCAAGGTTAAGGGTGGAGAACATGGCTTTAAGGCGGAAGGAGAAGTCCGCCGAAGAAAGGTGCGAGAGATTAACGGAGGAATTGAAGCTCATGAGGGAAAAAGACCATGAAATCATCGATTTGAAAGCCAAGAACCGTGAGCTTGAATGTGCCAAAGCCAAGGCCGAATCTGAGATGGAAATCATGAGGTCGAGATTTCAGGAGTTGGACAAGCGGGTTTACACTATAGAAAATGGCCTTACAATTGGGGCAGACGAAGATTTGGAGAACCACAGTGGCCCATCACCAAATGCTGGTAAAAATACCGAGCTTCCTCTTTTTTTTCCTCTTGGAATTAATCTAGGTTTATATTGTTGTTTGATTGGTTAAATTGATCGTCAGTATTGCTATGCGTATGAGGATTTCAGTATCATTTCAGGTTATGGACTAATAATGAACAGATACTCATGGCAAATTGTAGAATAACAGTATATGCAATTGGTCTGAAGCTTAGTTTTTATGACAGGAAACGTCAAAACATTAAGGTTCATTTATGTAGCAATATGTAATTTGTTTATCAGGCTTAGTGAGAAAATTAGTTCTCGATTTTGAAATTTATTGCATGTGTAGATCATAGGTGCGTATACAACCTGCTGGAGTTTGCTTTCAGTGTCGAAAATCGAAATACTTATTTTGTTGTACCTTTTAGGCAATGTTTTGACTTCTGAAACAATGGGTTTGGCACCATTTCATCTCTATAAGTTAATATGGATGATGAATTCATTAGATTTCCAAGTGTTATAGAACAATTTCTAAGAGCCTATGCTAAATGTATGTGTATGAGCAATATTACCTATTATGGAGCTTCTTACGTTTTTCTTCCCCTGTGAGTATAACATTGTTTACAACTTGCATGCCAGGGAGTGGGGGACTTCCATCTCAAAACGTTGTGATTGTTGATCTTGATAGTGATGATGATTCTGCTCCAGTTGGAAATCCGAGTGAAAGGAGAATCACTAGTCCAACCCAGAACGTGAATTCAGCTCAAATTTGTGTTGAAAATGTGACTCCAGCTCTGAAGAGAAAACATGTTTCATCTATAGATGCATGTGAGAGTGAAAATGTGATAATGGTGATACTACAATATCCGGGAAGTTAAAGACAAGGAAAGTTCAAGAGCCTTTTTGCAGGCCTGATGATTGTCCTCTTAATCAGTGCTCAACGACTTCGATACCTTCTGATAACAACAGGGTTAACAGAGCCACCCCAAGCGAAGATTTTATGGTTTCGGGACAACATGAACAGCAATTAGAATCTAAGCAGAATTCTCGGGAACTTATGAGTGGAGGTTTTCCTTTGGAAGGGCTTTGTTTTTCTGATGGCACTTCTGTTTCCTCTGATTCTGAATCCGATGATGATAGTGATGAAGTGCCTATTTCCTTCAATCCTTCTCAGCTTGCACCAGAGGCTCAGAGGGATAACAGAAATTAACTCCACTGATGGATGGCCTCTATTACATATATATAGGAAGACCCAAAACCATCTTTGTCACATTGCCCCACTTGACAAATTATCTGTCATGCACAGACGCTTTTCCAATATCTGCTGCTCTTTCTGTTCATTGATAGTAAAAGCGATTTTGGTTGATATCTTGAAGACGGGTTCTGATAGAAACTAGTTACATGCATGAGAACAATTATGAAGTAAAAGATAGAAGTAGAGTAGGGTAGAGGGGGAGATGCTTGTTGATTGTTTCCAACTGTCAGGGTTGGAGAAGAAGAAGAAGAACGGCGAGGAAGTATCGAAGAACAATTGGGAAATGAGGATCGAGGGTTAGGGATTGAAGACAGAAATTGAGAATTAAATCATGTGAGAGGCACGGGGTCACTTACCACATCAGTAAAGCAGGCCATGCAGAGTAAATGTCTGAAGGAGCAGCCCAATACCGAAGGCCCAGTACCTGAGGAAGAAAAGAAAGAGAAGAATCAATATGTTATATAGTTGGGACAGCTGGCATGAAACGTGTGGCAAATGTAACTAAATAATTAACAGACTTGGTTGTAAAAAATCCCTTATGCAATGAATGATGAATTTTCTTCTCTATCAACTCTCTTTCTTCTAAATTTCTTCTCTCAAATCTTTTCCTTTCTCACAATCTATAACAATTGGTATTCAGAGTCTCGAATCTGGCAAATTTTTAGTGGGCATGCCAAAGAAAAACCAAATTATGGCGGAAACTGATTTATCTGGACTATAGAAACAGATTGAAGATCTAGTTGCGTTGGTGAAACAGGGCCAAGATGAAACTAATCCACCTAAATGGTGGGAAAATCAGGAGAACATAATCACTGCATTGGAGTCCAGAATGGCTACTAATCAAGGTTTGTGGAGGAAATGTTGAAGATTTTGATAAGTAGAAATGGTGAGCAAGAACATTCTGCTGGTGAACAGATACAATCTCCGGATACTTCTAAAAATAAGGAGAAAAGTCTTGTTTTGGTGACAGTGGTGAATGACAAGTCTAGATTTAATTATAAAACGGATAAACCTGGGATATTAAAGTCTAAACCTTATGCTTGTTTAGCTCTTAAGAACAATTCTAGGCCTGAAAATCAAATGGGTAAAAACAGTGACTCTAGACCTATTATGTTGGGATTGGAAGCTGAAAAAAGGGGCCAGGGGTTCATTTAGCAATTCAGGGACTATGTGGCACATACCTAAGATAGAACTGCCATTCTTTGAAGGGGTTAATCCTAGGGGATGGATTCAGAAATGCCTGAAATATTTCTCTATTTGTAGTGTTCCTATTGAGCAAAGAGTAGATGTAGCTACTATGTATTTAACAGGCAATGCAGAAATATGGTTTGATGGTTATATAATGTAAAAGCACCATGTAACATGGCATGAATTTGAAGCTGATATTTGTCACAGATTCAGTGACAGATCTTTTTCTGATATTGTAGAAGAGTTCACTAAATTGACTCAAAAGGGTTCAGTGGAGGATTATCAGGAAAAATTTGAGGAATTACAACCTTTTATGTTGTTGCAGAATCCTACTTTAACTGAGGAGTTTTTTGTATCACTTTTTATTAGTGGACTAAGAGATGAAATTAAACATAGGGTCAAGGCTTTAGATCTTAAAAACTTGTTTGAAGCATGTAAACATGCCAAGCTTTATGAACTTTCTGTGGAATTTGAAAATAAAAGATTAAGGCCTTCTTTTAAAAGCCCACCCTACCCAAACCCCATATCTATATCTAAGAAACTATACTGCCAGTGCCTGCAAAGCCTACCTCAATACCAAATCCAAAACAAAATCTTATGGATCATAGAAGGCAAAATAATCTTTATTTCAAATGCGGTGAGAAATATCTGCCAGGTAATCAGTGTAAAACCAGGCAGTTAAATATGATGACTGAAGAGGTTGACACTTCTCATTTGGAAGTTGGTCCTACTAATACAGAACAATTCCAGCAACCAGAAGATGAAAACCTAGAAATTTCTATGAATGCCATTATTGGCTGCATTGGCCATAATACATTGAGAATTCTGGGTACTATCCAAGGAAGACCATTGAATATCATAATTGATAGTGGCAGCACACAGTTTTTTGACCCCTAAATGGGTTGATGCTGGTATACAGATTACTACCCCTCATCCATTGGTTATCACTGTGGCTAATGGCCAACAATTATTCAGTTCTGCTAGATGCAACAAAGTTGAATGGCAAATGCAGAGACATACTTTTTTACATGATTTTAGGCTGCTTAAATTGGGAGGAAGTGAGATGGTCTTGGGAGTTGATTGGATGAAGTTATTCAGTCCAATATTGATGGACTTCAATAATATGACATTAAACTTTGACCATCAAGGGGATCAGATTTGTATTCAAAGTCAACAACCCTCAAATGAACTACATCAAATTTCAGGGGCTACATTACTTAAAATGTTTGCATGGGATTGTGATATGTTGGGTCATGTTGTCTTATTAACTATGGCAGGAAATTCTACTTCTATTCCTACTGAACTACAACATGTGTTGGAGCAATACAACACAGTTTTTGCTGAACCTAAAGGCTACCTCCTCAGAGAAATCATGACCATGCTATTCCACTCAAATCTAATGCTACACCTGTTAATTAAGGCCTTACAGATTTCCTCATAATCAAAAAGTTGAAATGGAAAAACAGATAGCTACTATGCTTTCTTCTTCTGTTATTCAGCCTCGCATGAGCCCCTTTGCCTCTCCCTTCTTATTAAAAAGAATGATGAAACTTGGAGATTTTATATGCATTATAGAGAATTAAACAATATGACCATCAAGGATAAATTTCCTATTCATATAGTGGAAGATTTAATGGATCAGTTGCATGGGGCAGTCTATTTTTCAAAAATTGATTTGAGGTCAGGTTATTGGCAAATTAGAATTAAACATGAAGATATTTACAAGACAACCTTTAGAACACATCAAGGTTATTATGAGTTTAAGGTAATGCTTTTGGCCTTACTAATGCTCCTGCTACATTTCAGGCTCTTATGAATGAATTGTTCAATTCTTTCCTTAGAAATTTGTTTTAGTTTTCTTTGATGATATCTTGGTGTACAACAGCAGTATGCAAGATCATGTTCAACACTTACAACTGGTTTTGGAAGTTTTAAAGGTGAAACAATTATTTGCAAAATTGTCCAAGTGTTTTTTTTGGACAGACTAAAGTGGAGTATCTTGGCCATATTATTTCTGCTGCAGGGGTGTCTACTGACCCTAGCAAAGTGGAAGCTATACAGACTTGGCCTAAGCCTAAAACCCTTAAATCTCTCAGAGGGTTTCTAGGTCTAATAGGATATTACAGGAGATTTATCAGAAATTATGACATTATTAACAGACCTTTGACACAGATGTTAAAAAAGGATGGGTTTCAGTGGACTGCTGCTGCTTATAAAGCTTTTGAAGATCTTAAGAAAGCCATGTGTTCTGCTCTAGTATTAGCATTACCAGATTTTTTTAAACCCTTTTATCTAGAAATAGATGCTAGCTCTAGTGTATAGGGGTTCTTTCACAAGAATGAAGACCTATTGTTTATTTGAGTCAAGCTTTAAGTCCTAAGAATTCAACATTATCTATTTATGAAAGATAATACCTTGCTATTCTCTTGGCTGTTTCAAAATGGAGACATTATTTGGAGAGTAAACCTTTTATTATTAAGACTGATCATGAGCCTTTAAAATTTCTTTTAGAACAGAAGTTGACTACCACTGTTCAAAAGAAAGGGTTGACAAAGCTCTTGGGATTGGACTACACTATACAATATAGAAAAGGGAAGTTAAATGTTGTTGATGATGCCTTATATAGAAGATGGGAGGATCATGCTCAATGCCTTGCTTTGGGAGCTACTGTTTTGACTCCTACTTGGGTTCAAGAGGTGGAAGACAGTTATCAAGGTGATACTTTAGCTCAATATTGGATTTCAATTCTTACTATTAATCCTACAGCTGACAGTAAATGGAAGTATTCTAAGGTGTTCTTAGATACAGTGGTAGAGTTTATATTGGGGCTCATGGCAGTCTTAGATTGAAGGTTATTAAGACCTTACATGACTCTCCTCAAGGAGGACATTCAGGAGCACAAGCAATATATTATAGGATTAGGTCAAATTTTTATTGGCCAAATCATAAAGCTATGGTTGTTACTTATGTGAGAAGCTGTGAGATTTGCCAGAAAACTAAGGTTGAACATGTAGCAAAGCCTGGTTTGCTACTGCCCCTTCCTGTTCCTAATCAAGCTGGGGAAATAATTACTATGGATTTCATTGAAGGTTTACCTACTTCATTCAAGAAAAACTGTATTTTGGTCATTTTGGATAAGTTTACAAAGTACATTCATTTTTTTCCTTAGCTCACCCTTATTTTGCAACAGAGGTGGCTAAACTATACTTAGACAATGTCTACAAGCTACATGGCTAGCCTAAAATGGCCATTTCTGACATGGATAAGACCTTCACAAGTTTTTTTTGGAAGGAATTAATGAAACAACTAGGAACAAAGACACTCTTCAACACTGCTTACCATCCAGAAACAGATGGACAAACATAAAGAGTTAATCAATGCTTAGAGCAGTATTTGAGAGACCTTTGCTTCTATCAACCTAAGCAATGGGCTAAGTGGCTACCACATGCAGAGTCGTGGTACATCACTACTTATCATACTGCTTTAAAGCTAACACCTTTTCAGCCATTATATGGGTACAAACCACCTATTATGGTTAGGCCTACTAAGTCTACAGTACATACAATTTCAGAGATGATGAACAATAGAGAAACTACTAGACAGTTGCTAAAAAATCAGTTACAGATAGCAAGTAATCGAATGAAGCAACAAGAGGATAAAAATCGAATTGAGAGGACTTTTAAGATTGGGGATTTAGTTTATCTGAAATTGCAGCCCTACAGACAGAATCAATTTCCCTGCGAAAGAACTTGAAGTTAGCAGCAAAAATTTTTGGGCCTTATCGAATTCTGAAAAAAAAATAGGAACAGTAGCCTATCGATTGAACTTACCCGATTCCTCTCGATTGCATTCGGTTTTCCATGTCAGTCTCTTGAAAAAGTTCATATGCAATTCATCTGCTGCTGTCACCGATTCTCCTACAGTAGATGAAGAAGAGGAGTTACAAATTAAACCATTAAAAATTATGGGCAGAAGGATTGTAAATAAAAACAGTAAACCTGTCATTCAACTTTTGGTTCGCTGGGAGAATCTTGTTGAAGAGAACGACACTTGGGAGGATTATTCGACTTTGAAAGGGTAGTTTTCGGTGTTCGATCCTTGGGGACAAGGCTCGTCTCGAGAGATGGTATTGTCAGGGTTGGAGAAGAAGAAGAACGGTGAGGAAGTATCGAAGAATAATTGGGAAATGAGGATCGAAGGTTAGGGATTGAAGACAGAAATTGGGAATTAAATCATGTGAGAGGCACGGGGTCACTTACCACATCAGTGAAGCAGGCCAGGCCATGCAGAGTAAATGTCTGATGAAGCAACCCAATACCGAAGGCCCAATACTGAGGAA